AGTGTCCGAAGACAACTGAGGACTAACAGTGTCAATCTCACGCCATATTGCAGATAGCTGTCGAAAGAAATCCTCAATTGAACTGTCACCCTGCTGTAACAACTGCTTTTAACGTAAGGCGGCAATATAAGTAGACTGACTAGAGGGCTCATAGTACTAGCGAAGAAAGGCCCACATCTGAGCAGCATGATCAAGCCCAATAACCTCTCCAGCCAGATGTGGTTCCATACTAGCAATAAGAACAGCCCCAGCACGAGCATCTTCATCCAACCAAGTCGGATAAGCCCGAAAATGAGACATATAAGAAGCCATGTCATCATCATAAGCTTCACGCAACTTCTTTTGTTCATCTTTAGATGTTCCTAGAGGAATCACTGGCTGCACTGGACGAGCAGACAAGGCTGGACAAGGTAGCTCACCACTGAAAAACTCCCAAAGCCAGAGACCACGCATATGCCACCGCATATGTGAAACCCAGTCATGATAATTGGTGTCATTGAAAATCACTGGACACCGTGGGATTTGAGCACCACCAGAGGGAGGAACCTGTGGAGATGCCATCTCTTCTTCTTCTTTTTTAAATTACCCAAACTCAACCAGATCGGAGGTGAAAAAAACAGAGCACATGGACTCGTGCGGGTATGGGCAGCAACAGGGTGGAGCAGTGGCTCTTGAGCACGCGCTCGGCTGTAGGGGCCGCTACCGCATAGGCGAGAGGGCAGTAAGGGAGCGGGAGTGGGAGCAACCATGCCAGTGGGCTAAGCACGCCGTGCCCAGCCTCGTGCAGCTCTGAATACCATGCTAGAATAGAGCTTGTATTCTGAGAATGGGGCAAAAGGCCACCATATGTACATGTACAATATGCAGAAGCACCCTTGTGCAATATGAAAATACAAAATACACACATATCTCTAACACTTAGCTAGGGTGAAGAAGAAAGTACTTGCATTTAGTTGAGGTGCCAATCAAACTATGATGGTCACATTGAAGTGGAGGATCAAATATATTGAAGAAATCATTGGAGATGACTTGATTCATTTGAAGTTAATTCTCATCTATTGAATGGAATCAAGTCACATGCTCAAGATGGCTATGCCCAGGAAGAAAAACAAAGTTGACATGTTGACAATCTCACTTGATAAAGATGGAGAGCTATGGTATTTGGTTTGAAGGAAATCAACTCAAGCGATTCAAACTCAGTTTTCATTTGATCTTGAGTTAATAGGTATGCCGTATATTAAGAGGGATGCATCATGTTGATAGATAATTATTCATAAGTTCCTAAGCCAACACATGTGAGGTTTGAGTGAAAGAGAGACACAAGTGCTAACTCAGCTTGCTGTGGCTGAGAATACCGGACGTGTCCGGTATTGTCCTGACCATAGCAACTTCTTCGGTGTTCTTGAGTTTGGTTCGTCGGATGTTCCAACAAGAGTCGGGAGTTTTGGGAGTCGAAAGTCTCGACAAGCATCGGTTGTTCCGACGCCTCACGCGCCACTAACCTTTCTAACTGTTGGCGTTGTGCAGGGAATACCGTGTCCGGTATTCCAACGGCTAGTTTTTGAGTGGGATCTATAAATACCACCAAGCCTTCACCTTTGGATGTTGTTGATTCTGCCAACATTCATACACATTTTTTAGCCTTGAGAACACTCTCCAGCCCTCTCTTAGTGAGTGATTGATCAAATTTGCAAATTCCATCTTGTGGGTTGAGTGAGATTCAAAATTGAGAGTAAACCACCACTTGAGCATATTTGTCGATCTCGTGATTTGCATTTGTTACTCTTGGACTCTTCGGTCCTAGATGGCTAGGCATCGCCAGAGAGCACCTAAGAGATTGTGATGCGCCTCAGAAGTTTGTAACGGTCGATTCCACCACTGCAAGGGAAGGAATCAACTAGTGGAAGGAGTAAAAGGAGTTGGAAAAGACTCCTGCTAGAGTGACCTTCATGAGTCCTCTAGAGCTGACCTTTGCTGGGTCGCTCGTAGCCCCCTCAACAAAGAGTATGACTCGACGGAGTCCAAACTTCGGTAAAACAAATATCGTATCTTAATTCGCATTCGTTTGATATTTGTGATCTATTTGTGTTGCTTGAGCTCGTGGGCAGGTTACTAGTAAGTGCCTACAACTTGGAGTGAAAGAAGAAATCAGAAGGAGAAAATTGGAAGCTGATCTGCACAAGCCGTGAATACCGGACATGTCCGGTATATATATATATATATATATATATATATATATATATATATATATATATATATATATATATATATATATATATATATATATATATATATATATATATATACCGGACGTGTCCGGTATTACCCTCTGGCTCCAATCTTGTTTATTCTTTGTCCTAATATTTGTGTTGCAGAATTGTAGCTTCTAGATATGTTCTATATCTCTTTTATACTCTGTGGCTAACCTTTGAGGGGTTTAATTCTCTGATTTAGAGTTTCTGATTTATTGGAAACTCCCACACTAATCATTTCCACATTTGAAGGTGTTAATTTTTAGAAACGCCTATTCACCCCCCTTTAGACGATATCCTCGGTCCTTTCACATTATCTCTTTTAAAAAAAAATATGTGGCGGCTTGCAGTTGTCACTGGTGGGATGGTAGCATAGGAGGTGGCACAAGGAAGCCAAGCAGGTAGCAACCGGGGCAAATCCTGACAATGACGCATGTGAGCCATGTCCCCTTTGTCATTCTCTATTATGGAATTCTCGCTAGCTAAAGACAGAGATTGGGTTTGGCTCTATAGAGTGCGCACAGGATATATAGCTGTCGTTGGAGCAGGGAAAGATATAGAGAGCAACTTTTATTCAAATAACTCTCTAAATACAATTTAGAGAGTGGGTTTATGAAAGACTCTAGGAGCATCTCCAATAGTCGAATGAGTTTTTCAAATTGCTAAAAAAGCTATGAATATATTTGTTTGCTTTCTCCAACCGTTTTCAATATCTTGCTTCTAAAAGAATCGGTCTCACATGAAGGATCTTGCACCCTCTAGCCACCACAGCAAAAAGCGGTAGCCACCTCCAGTCGTCAGCAGCCTAGCAGGACCACAGCTAGCGCGCGGCCAGACAAGGCTAGACCAGTAGTTGCGGTTGGGCGGTGATGGCCGGGAGTGGCCAAACAAGGCTAGGGCATGAATCTTCTAGTGTACAGAAGGGTAGCGACAAAGTGACCCGACATGATTTTTCTGTCTTATTGAAAATCGCCCCCACGGTGTATCTTCCATGTGTATCGATTGATTTTTCCAAGTGCAGAGAGATTAAGAGTTGAAATAAGGAGTCATTGAAGAAAAAATTTTAGTCGTGCAAAAAACCAAACAAGATTAGGAGTGGCCTTTAGGAACTATTAGAGATGCACAAATAAAGGATAAAACAGTAACCACTTACTCCATTGTAAACTATAAGTCATTTTATTCTAAAAATTTATAGATTTTGTTACGTATCTAAGACATAACATATATTTAGATGTATAGTAAAAAATTATGTATTTAAAAGGTCAAAATGATTTATAATTTGGATTGGAGGGTTAACCCCTTAGATCCAACAGAGTCTTTGTACTGCTAGCAAGCTAATTTGCTTTGAATAAAGCAAAGCTATCCTTTTTCGCCTAGAAAGAAGAGAAGAGTGATGAAGCAAAGTTCAGCCAATCTTACAAATGATTTGGGCAATTGGGCTACGCTAGGTGCAGTAGAATCGAAGATCCTCCCGATTCAATCAAATAGCCCAAACCAGTCTCGTAGAAACTACGCCCGGGTGACAGGAATCGGCTGCGATGGAGACATTTGCGACCTCTGCACGCGGCCGGTTCTCCTGCTGACTGCTGAGGGCCACTCTCGAGTCAGATGCGGAGATGCCCATTGCCGCCAGCCGGCAGCAGCGTGCAGCTCCTGGGGGGCGCCAAGATCAGGGAGCGAGCCTTCTGAGGAAGACCAGTTGGCGCGTCGTCGGGCGGCAATGTCCATGACCATGAGCTCAATTCCAAGGGGTCCACATCCACGTACTGTGTACGTACATACAGCAGCAAATAAAGCATGCATCTTCATGACAAAACTTTCGAAAAATACACGCCTTATTATTTGTTTGCCTGATGTAGTTAACTCCGGCAACATGCGTGCCTAGAAACACACAGGTGCCTGCCTGAATAAGTAGCTCGAGGAAACATGCAGACGAAAAAAGCAGGAAAGTGGAGCTCGATGCAAACCTTCCTCGGATGCACGATGGTTGATGGATCTGATCAAACAAGCCCATGCAACCATCAAAACGGCATGCGGCGTGGTGGGCACACTTTTCTTTCAGCATTGCCGCCTGCCGAGTGCCGAGGCCGAGCAATGGCAGCTGCTGTGCCGTGGACCAAACCTCCAACTCCAATACGTAATCCATCCCTGCCGGCGTGCGCAAAAAGCTGGGGCATGCATGTCCCGCTCCCTCGTGCCGCGAACGCTGAGCCGCCGACCTTTTTTGGTCGTTGCGCTTCCAATCCTAAAACCAAAAAAAATACACTTCCTCCCATGGTTTTCACGTTGGCCCGACTTGTCGATGGTTTGCCCCGATCTGCGCCCATGAGTGATGGACAACGACTCGTCAGCTCAGCCGCACTAGTAGTAGCACTAATAAAAAGGGTCCCAAGTCAGAGGCGGCGACACCCCGTCACGTGCCGTGCCGTGCCGTCAGTGCGGCAGCCGGCAGGGATGATAAGCGCTCGTGGCGCCTAGATCTCCCCATACAAAATTCGCTCGCGCCATGCAGACGCGCGCGGTCTGCCGAGCCGCCGTGGACTTGCTGCCTCGCTCAGCCGAAAAGATACCGCCTGCCGGCTGCCGGCACAAGCTACTGGTACGCACCAACCGCGACGACTGGGTCCATTTCGGCGTCACGCCCCGCCGCGTTCCCCTTCCCCACCTCGCTATAAAGATCGATCCTTGCGTGCCGCTGATATCATCACTTCACATCGCCATCACGTCCCACACGCTCACACTCACATCATGGCACGCCACCCTGCTATCAGTGCTCGCCCTCTCGCGGCAGCTGTCCTCTTCCTCTGCCTGCTGTCGGCCTGCCGCGCGGCGGCCGGCTCCGGCGGCAAACCCAGCGCCGTGGTGCTGCCGGTGAGCAAGGACGACGCCACGCAGCAGCACGTGACGGGGTTCCGGCAGCGCACGCCGCTGGTGCCGGTGAAGGCCGTGCTGGACCTGGCGGGAGCCACGCTCTGGGTGGACTGCGACGCTGGGTCGTACGCGTCCTCCACCTACAGCCGCGTGCCGTGCGGGTCCAGCCTCTGCCGCCTCCTCTCGCGGTCGGCGGCGGCGGCCTGCGCCACCACCTGCTCGGGCGCCCCGAGCCCGTCCTGCCTCAACGACACCTGCGGCGGGTTCCCTGAGAACACGGTCACGCGGCTCAGCACGGGCGGCAACGTCATCACCGACGTGCTGACGCTGCCCACCACGTCCCGCCCGGCCCCGGGCCCGCTCGCCACGGCGCCCGCGTTCCTCTTCGCCTGCGGGTCCACGTTCCTGACTCAGGGCCTGGCCGCGGGCGCCGCTGGGATGGCGTCGCTCAGCCGCGCCCGCTTCGCGCTGCCCACGCAGCTCGCCTCCACGTTCCGCTTCTCCAGGAAGTTCGCGCTCTGCCTGCCGTCGTCCGCGGCCGCGGCGGGCGTCGTCGTCTTCGGCGACGCGCCCTACGCGTTCCAGCCCGGGGTGGTGCTGTCCGACGCGTCGCTCACTTACACCCCGCTCCTCGTCAACCCGGTGAGCACGGCGGGCGTGTCCGCCAGGGGCGACAAGTCGGACGAGTACTTCGTCGGCGTCACGGCCATCAAGGTAAACGGCCGCGCCGTGCCGCTGAACGCCACGCTGCTGGCCATCGACAGGAAGGGCGGCGTGGGCGGGACCAAGCTCAGCACGGTGGCGCCCTACACCGTGCTGCAGTCCTCGATCTACGAGGCCGTCACCGACGCGTTCGCGGCCGAGACGGCCATGATCCCGCGGGCGCCGCCCGTGGCGCCGTTCAAGCTGTGCTACGACGGGAGCAAGGTGGGGAGCACGCGCGTGGGCCCGGCCGTGCCCACCATCGAGCTGGTTCTCGGGAACGAGGCCACGTCGTGGGTGGTGTTCGGGGCGAACTCGATGGTGGCCACCGAGGACGGGGCGCTGTGCCTCGGCGTGGTGGACGGCGGCAAGGCGCCGCGGACGTCGGTGGTGATCGGCGGGCACATGATGGAGGACAACCTGCTGCAGTTCGACCTGGAGGCGTCGCGGCTCGGGTTCAGCTCCTCGCTGCTGTTCAGGCAGACCACCTGTAACAACTTCCACCTCGGCTAGCTGACGGTGCCACCAGCTGCTACTTGACGGTGTCATGTCCGGCCTGTATGTCCGTCTGAGACCAAAGAAGATGATGGTCTTGGTGATTTTGGCAGTCGCTGTGCTGTCTCAATAAAATTGTCCCCCTCTAGTACGGTGGTACCGTACCAAACAGCAATGTTCAACTCTAGTTTTAGGCCTGCACTCGAGAAAACGGCGGATAGGCTGAGCACCGACGGCCCGGCACAGCTTGAGCTCGCTTTGAGTATGGTTGCTCTTGCCGGTTCAGGTGGATAGGCTATATATTGCTATCTGATCTGACCGATGAATAAGAGTTCTCAAGCTCAGCAGACTATGATTTAAGGTTTGTGTCAATGGGTTGTTTTATTGTGTTTTCACTTTTCAGTCGTCGGAAAAATTCAGGAGTGAAGAAAGTAAGGCTACACAGGCTGATTCATACAGAACCTTTTTGACCAATCATACAAAACCTTTTTGGGGTTTGGTTCACAGGTCAGGACGCAACAGCCAACAGTAATGTGTACTATACACAGGTAGATATTTCATGTTCGCATGGGGAACCTTACAATAAATGGTATGAGTAATAGAGTATCACATTAATCAATGTAACTCAACATGCTGGGAAATCGAGGTAATTAAATACACCAGGAACTTAGTCTTGGCGTTCCTCTAATTCTAGCAATTCATGTTGATTTATCAAATCCAGCATCCATGACCAAATGATGTTCATCATGCTTTCTTGGCCTTGGGCTTAGGTGGCGGTGCTAGGAACAAAGCCCTGAAGATCCACGCAGCAAGAATGGCACCAACGAAGGGGCATATCCAGTACACATAGAACTGCTCCCATGTATTATGGCGATTGTTAACATACGCCCAGCCAAATGCCTGTAGATAATATTTGATCAAGATTCATAAGTTAAAGAAAACAGGAAACTAGAACCCTTATTTTTAGCAAAGAGCACTAAACTGAAAATGGCCAGGAACAGAGAAATGGTTAAAGCTATAAGAACAGTAATCCAAAATCAGCTCTTATCAGATAATTACCAAAATATTCAAAATTCAGCAATGATCTACACCACTATTCCTAGGGCAGTATTCCCTGAGGGTAGCAATGGCATATGGGGATAGGAACCACTCTTGCGATCCAATAGTCATGGCCATCGCCATGTCTCATCACTCTTGTGAGGAGCGGGTTCCTGTCCTTGCCTCTGTTGATCTTCTGGTCAACTTCTCAGACGCCATCCTATACTCCACTCTTTAGGGCTTGTTTGGAAACATAGCAATGCCCTTCAATTCATACATATTGCAAGAGGTGGAAAATTAGTTCATTTCCACTCCAATCCATATGGATTTGGAGGGATTGAGTTTATCCAAACAAGCTCTTAGAGGTTTCCATCATGGCATTGCCAGAGGTCAATTTCTGAGCTTATTGCTTGCTTTTGCAGAGCAATACCTGCACTCAGACATTGCTGCAATCTGTCTCGGCAAACATGCCCTCTATTTGTATGTTCAGTTACCGCAGGAGGGTACGGTACTTACTCAGCTAAACAAAGTAGAACTGTATCTAATCAGCACAAACAATTTGAGATATTCTGCCAGCACTACTCTGCATTGTATTCTGCCAACTTTACTATGCGTTTATCCTTCAATTGGATAAGTAACTTTGTTTAGTTCACCTCAAACACATAGACAATCATTGGCACTTATGTTCACGTTGTATTGTTGTGCTCCTTTAGAATGCAGGGTTCTATGTGCAGGTATTCATCTGGTGTCTGATTAAAAAAAAAGGTGAAGTATGCGAGATTTTCCAAGGTTTGAGGACTTCGGCAAAACAGAAACTCAGACCCTTTTCAGGTGAGTATGTGCTCTATGTCATGATATAAGCAATGGTGTCCAAGCATGGTTGCTTACTTGAGATAACATCTACTCCCTCTGTTCCAAATCACAGTTCACTTTGTCTTTGTACTAAGTCAAACTTCTCTAACTTTGACTAAGTTTTTACAAAAATATGTTAACATCTACAAGTTCAAACAATCCAATATCAAAACATATTTCGTGAAGGGCAGGCCTGGTGCAGTAGTGAGAGCTGTCTCACCGAGTCACCAGGTCACGGGTTCGAAGCAGCCTCTCCACAGATTTTGCGGGGGGAAGGCTTGCCTCGGTTTTTCCCTTCCCCAGACCCCACTCATGTGGGAGCCTCCGGCACTGGGTCTGCCCAATATACTGAAACTAATTTAAAGTTGTAAATGTTGGTGCATTTTTCTATAAACTTGGTCCAAGTTAAGGAAGTTTGACTTAGGACAAAGCCAAAGTGAGCTAAAATCTGTAACATAGGAAGTAGAATTCAGTTTGAAGGCTATATAAAATATTCTAGAAAGAAATAAAATAAAAAATTTCCTGTCTTATGGTTATAAAATTTTGATGAAACTCAATAAAACTTTTCATTACAATATGGTAGTATGATTAGCGGTCTACAATTTGTTAATTTGCTAACTTTTCCATTTCAATCTATTTCAGTGACAAGCAACTTTAATTTATAGATGAGTGTTCCAATTATACTTTTTGGCCATAAGAACAAACAACCAGTGTGAAGAATGCAAATTTGTGTTCAGATTTAGACATGGAGATAAGGTGGTGCTGCATATGTGTGCCTTCTCTAAACACCTATCCTATATCTCTAGAGTTCTTCTGGAACAATATTTTGTTTTCCACTTCCTATCACCATGCTGACTCTGTTAGTTGGGGGCTGTATTTTTTTTTATTAAAAAAAAAGACGAGTCGCAATGTTGTGCTCTTAACTTGCAAAATTGCTCATGCAGGACCTTCAGACAAAGAACAAGAAGATGCTTCAAAAGATCAAGTATGATGATTTGGTGGTCAAATAATTTTGTTCAGCTTTTTCTTCTCATTGTAACATGCTGGCCATTTCGTACAATTATTTTAGAAATAGGTAATCATATGTAAACAGTAAATGTTTATTTAAACATTTACCCAGAGAACTGAAATCCTTTCATTCAGACAACTGATTTTGCATCATTCAAGTGATATAACACTTGCTAGCGAAAGAAATAATTTATTTTCATGTATCAAAGAAAATGGTCTAGCCATGTGTGGTCTCTCAAAATACGACATCCGCGCATGTACACTGGCCAAAGCATACCACTAAATTATGATATAAAATCACCTTTCTTACTAAAGAATGGTAAGATCAGGCTACCCACATATATAACATTCCTGAAAACCATCGAACATCTACAAATATTTGTCAGATAACATCTACAGATATTTGTCAGATAGGCAATCAAGCTGCTAAAGTTCCCTGTGACGGACCAAAAGGCACAGTTATTTTCTAGTTGGGTGTTGAAATTTGCTCGCTGTATGTATAGATGGTGACAGGAAACTACCAATTGGAGTGAAAAGTATATACAAGTAATGGGCTGCTGGCCAAACAACAGACAACAGTAGAAGGAAAAGAGAGAAAAGAAAGGAAGAGACTGACATTGGCTGGGTTCATGGAAGGGCCGGTGTATGCTGCGCCGGTGAGGACGAGGCACAAGGTGCAGATGGAGATCATCCATGTCTTGATGATGGGGTTGCGGGGCCCCTTGACTATGATCCAGAGCACGGCCAAGGTGATGACGAAAGTAAGCACTAATTCGGCGACAGCGCCGGTGTGGGGATCCACCTTGAGCGAGGGTCCCCCAAGCATGTGCTTGTACTGCGCCGGCATCAGCTCCGAGATGGCAAGAGCACCGCCCACAGCGCCGGCGGCCTGATCAGTTAGTAGTCCGCATCAGTCTCTCTGAAGACATTTCTGAACCCTTGAATTGAACTGAACCCAAATTCAAGTGAAAACTAACCTGTGCCGGTAATCGGAGCGCGACGGAGAAGAGGGAGGGGCTGGTGACTCCGGCGGCATAGAAGGCGGCAACGCCGGTGGGGTTGAAGCTGGCGCCGCCGAGTGCGTCGCCGAGGATATTGAAGGCGAAGAGGAGCACGGAGAGGAGGGAGACGGTGACCAGGAGCGCGTAGTGGACGCCCTGCAACCTCAGGTAGGACGTCACCGCCGCCGTCGAGGCCCCCAGCGTGGAGACGCACATCACCCACAGGAACGTCACCACCGCGTCAGCGGCAGCCGCCCGCAGCGCCGCGCCCATCGCCATCAGCGCCCGTGTTGCCCTCTGCTCTGTTGTGTTGTGTTCAAGAGAAGCAGATCGGAACCGACGGAGAAGGAGGAGGGGGTAGGTATACAAACGCTCTTCCCGTGCTGCATCTTTATCTCCCTTCTTTTTTTTAGGCTCGTTTGGCTCCACGCCGCAGCACATTTTGCATGGAAGAACAACCAGGCTTGTAATTAGAGGCTTTTACGCGGAGAAAATTAAATATTTGACACCTTATCTGGGCGTCTACGTGACATCCAATTCACACGTCGTTGAAAACTTAACACTCTGACTGTGAATTCGTTGAAAACAGATGTTTTCTCCTCCTTTTCTCCAATTAACAATTTTTTTTTTTTTTTCTTTTGCTTTCGAAGGCAACGTTGAATGATCAAAGTACCGTTGGCCTTATCCATCCATTTCTTCTAAGAAACGAACGCATCTCTCTCTCCCGTACTCATTTTTCTTCGACTCTGTTAAATCACGCCGCCATTGGGTGCGGAAGAGGCTTCCGCCGCAGCCGGCAGTCGGGCTATGTGAGGCAGGGCGCGGGGGGGCGATCGCCGGTCTTTGGAAGAGTCGGCCATGCGCGTCTTGTGGATGGATGGTCGCCGGTGCTGGGCGCCGACGCTAGCCAAAGGTCATTGTCTTGACTCCGGCCGTGATGGAGGCCGTCAGTATGAGCGAGGCGCGCAGAATGGTCGAGCAAGCAACAAGAAGCGGTGAGGAGCCGACTCTGAAGTTCAAGATGTGATTTTTTTTGTCTGAACCTGTTGGTAACTCGAACGGGATCATAGCCGACCTGATCCGGCCACCCAAAGCTCCTCTGTTCACTCGTGAGAGAGAGAGAGGAGGCAACGAGAGAAAGAAACATGAGAGAGTGAGGGGAAGGAATGCAATGCTTCTGATCCAGCAGAGCTAATGGGTACTTTGGTCATTCAACCTTGCCATGGAAAGCAAAAGAAAAAGAAAAAATGTTAAATGGAGAAAAGGAGGAGAAAACACCTGTTTTCAACGAATTCGCAGCCAGAGTGTTAAATTTTCAACGATGCACGAATTGGATGTCAAATGTTCACATAATCACATGCGCCCAGATTGGGTGTCAAATATTCAATTTTCTCTTTTACGTGTGTACCATTAAAAAAAGTTCATAATTACACACAAGCTATTAAAAAAGTTAACTGCAGACAGGTGCCACTGCTCTAAACTTCTTTGCCTTACACACCATTCCGCCCATGTTCTGTTTGTTTTTCGCCATTTGGTAGCCCTTATAGGTGGGACCGGTCAGTGAAATTGTCCACAATGCCCTTGGGCGGTGGCCGTCCATCCTCTGCCTGCCTGCCCCGCTTATCAGAGTCTGGAACTACAGCATCGATACTAGTACAGAGCCCTTTGTGCCTTCCGAGGTGCGGTACCGTGGTCTGCAACAGACGGCGGAGGCGGCACCGGAGCAGGAGGTGGAGGACTTCTCCCTCGAGTGGTGGCGCCTGATGTTCGCCTCCCCGGCCTTCCGCGACCCTGGCTCCGCGAGTACGGCGCGCTCGGCCTGCTCGACACTGAGGAGGACCTGGACGACGACGCGGAGGTCGACGGCTTCCTCCTCGATGACTTCTTCTCCCCTCCGGCCCTGCGCCAAGGTAAGCCGCCGTGCCGCCTCGAACCTCGCCCTCCTCGCGGCGTCCGCGGCCGCCCACTGCTCGTCCTCGTGCTCCCGCTCGCCTTCCTGCTCTTGCTCCTCCTCCTCCACGGCACCTCGCCCTCCTCGCGGCGTCTGCGGCCGCCGCCGCCGTGGGGGCCGCGCGCCTGCTCCAGGGACGCATGCGCCTACGCCGCTCGCCGGGCTCCGGCTCCGTCCAGTGGTTCATCGGGGACGACGACGACAAGCCATTGGAGCACAGGCCACGACCACCGGGGAGTGTTGGGGCTCAGGGCGAGACCGCGGGGTCACCGGGGTTCGCCGCACGACCGCCTGGGAGGTCGTTGGGCTGAGTCGCGGGTCGGGTCGCCGGGGAGCAGGCGCTGGCGCGCGGCCGGGCCTGGAGCGTGCACAGTCGCTGGGGGCGTGGGGCCAGGCCACCGTCGCTGAGGGTGCAGGGCGGTGCTAGGGCCGGGAGCGTGGGGCTAGGCCATCGGGGTCGCAGGGCGGGGCTGGTGCCAGGAGGCGCTGGGGGCGAAGGGCGGGGCCGAGGCCTAGAGGTGCCGGGGGCGCAAGGCCGGGCCACTGGGCGCGGTGTTGACGACGGAGGAGGCCGCGTTGCGGTGCATAGGAGCGTCTGGGTCGTGGGAACAAGATGAGGATAATCAACACAGTTTCCACCGTCAAAGGGCAACATGGACAATTTCACTGCCCGGTCCCACCTGTAAGGGCTACCAAACGGCGAAAAACAAACAGAACATGGACGGAATGACGTGTAAGGCAAAGAAGTTTAGAGCAGTGGCACATGTCTGCGATCAACTTTTTTAATGGCTTGTGTGTAATTACAAACTTTTTTAATGGCACACGTGTAAAAGCCTCTTGTAATTATCGATCTGGAGACCATTTGTCCTTTTATCTTGAAAGGGAGCATTTTTTTTTGGGAAACTTGAAAGGCCACATTTCGGTGGCCTATGTTTGTATCTTCTATACTTTAACAAAGATATATCTATATGGCACAATCATACTTAGATAAAAAAAATAGGTTAAGATAGTACTATTGTATAGTTCAGTAACTTAATAAAGTTGCACATTAAATGAAGTTGTATTTGAGTTTTGGTCGCTATTTGAACAACCGTAATAACCTGTGTTGGCTGAGATGATCTTCATTTTTAGAGTCTTTGAAGATGTTCAACCCTGTTAATCAATTTTCGGGTATTTATGAATCTATTTCTTAAAATGCTCGGACCGTCTTTGAAGATCACCGGTATTTATCAAACTGTCTCCTAAAATGCTCCTACCGTCTCCTAAAGTGCTTCTTTTGCTATACTGAACCTGGAGCTCCGGTGTAGCTTGTGGTTTAGCATTTGCTAATATACACAATCATTCATTTAGCTTGTGGTTGAAAAAAGGATCTGAACTTCTTTTCTCCAGCGGAGACGGTGCCACGAAGTTCATTCTCACTTGTATTCAAATCTTGTATTCACCAACATATCGACATAATATTTACAAGTATCCTAGTAACATCTTGATACAGAGAATTTTAGAAACTCTCCACTCACATGGTGAAGCAGGGTTATGTAAAAGCAGTCCTTATGTCGACGATAGCTGTTTGTTGATGTATTTGCCAATAAAACTGTTTTCCTATGTTGTTGATGTAATGTAAGAATGCAACCATTAGCAAATACTCATCGGCTTTTATCTCCACTGTGGTCAGCTATCAAGCTTACAATTAAGTTGGTGGCGTTCAACTCGCCATGACAAGAGCCTCATCTAGAACAGGAATTTTCATACACAATATCACCTATATAACACAAGCTTCACAAGAATAATAGCAGTACGACAAATGCATCAAACCCACAAGAACCACATTGTAAACAGATCAAAACTTTCACTTTTAAATGCTCATGAGCTGTACATAAAATTCAGTGGATGCACACATTGCATATTGTGAGGACCAACACAATCAGGATCCTCGAAGTTGTCAATGGATGACGAATTTATATATCAATTAGAATGGAACAACAGAGTAGGTCATTCCTGCAACATATTTCAAAATCACAATATTACCGAAAGACAAAAAGAGCCTTCAAAAGCATAACAAATTGAATGAATCAGTTCAGCGTATCAGATCAAATATTACTTAGACAACATCACAAGATCCACATTTTTTACATTTGTCAATCCGGAGGACAGGAAGGTACAGTAAATTCTATGGAGATGGTTATGTGAAAAAATGACCAGAATTAACATAACACAGTGAAACAGTGTTAGAATCATAGCATGCCTTGATCTCAATGGCATTGGAAGGAATGACACCTAACCTTGTGATATAATCCTACAAAACTTGCCTCACAGCTTCATTGGAACTAAAACATCCTGATCCCTGAAACCATCAAATGTAATCTTACCCTCATACGCCTTAACAACATCTGGCACATCGTGAGCATACCTCAATACATACTTTGTGGAGAACATCTTGGCGCTACCAAGCAATGCCGAAATCAACTTGACGTTGGGCCCAATCTTTCCCTCCCTCATCAACAAGCTTAATACGGCACACCTTGGTATGATGTTCTTCTCCAAGCTATACCCTATAAGCACAGGCTGCCCCATTACTTCGCTTAGTTCAAGCTTCAGCTCATCCAGGAAGAACCGGAGCTTCTTCTTTATGGTCTCGTCAGAGAAGCTCTGTATCGTCGGCTGCCTCTTGAACGCACTGCGTAGCTCACCCTCGGACACCCCGAAGCTCCGGTACAGGGCCACCCTATGCAGCCACGTCTCCCTACTGATGCCGCATAACGCGCAGATGCCGTAAAGAAATACCTTCTCTGTTATGCCCAAGCCGAACTCCTTGAGGCCGTCGAAGATCTAGCATATGCGGTCGGGCGAGATCATGAGCACGCCCATCTCGATGATGACTAGCTTCGAGATGAACTCCTCGGGGAGCCCGAGGCAGCGGAGGGCGTCCACGACGGGGCGCATGGTCTTCTCTAGGTCGGCCACGAGGGCGCATGGGGTACTCGAGATGGGGCTTTTTTATTTTTAATGCTTTTTTAATTAATATTTTAATAATAACCGCTCCCAAAAAGAAATTGCATAAGGTAGCCCTTTTGGTCGCGCTACCGCTGCCAGCGCGACTGCACCACGTTGTCGCGCCACATGCACCAACGCGACAAGGGGAGCCATGGTGGCGTGCATGTTTGACCAGAGCTGGCGTGGCGGTGCATGGGGCCCGTCCTGTCGCGTCAGCAACTCCGGCGCGACAGCACTATCGCGCCAGCCCACCTGGTGCGATGATAAGAAACGTCCTTGAGGGTGGCCCAATCTTCACGACAGTAGGTCACGAATCTAAGATAACTTGCTGCGAACAGCGAGATAACTAGCTTTATACCTGACAAAGGTTGAATGCGACCGAGCGACGGGGTAAGAGGCACCGAAACCACGAAGACTTCGACTCAATCTCCGAACAACCGCAAAACCACAATCCAGAACTAATCCACACAAAATGGTGCAGCCATACTGGAAACCGTCGAGCACTAACTAGGGAAACCCAGAGGGATCACTTTACAAGTCCAAGAAGAACAAGGAAGAACAAAGGTTTGAGTAAGGCACTCGGCAACTCGGCTGCAATATCATGTATGTCGACAGAATATCGTCGACAGTCCTCCGAGGAGTATCCCATGAAGGTAGATTGATCGGCAGAGATGCGTGTAATCAAGAATAAGAAGGCAACAGAGACACAAGAGTTAGACAGGTTTGGGCCATCAGCGCGACGTAATACCCTACTCCTATGGTCTGTTAGTTTGTATTGGCTTTGTATGATCTTGCATGTGTTTTGAGGAGGTCCCTGCCCGCCTTATATAGTCTGGGGGGCAGGGTTACAAGTCGGTTAGATCTAGGAGATAACCGGAAAGTAATAACAGATTAGAGGAATCATGGGATCGAACGTATCCTAACAGATCTTGTAGTATCTTCATAATATCGCCATTGATGTCTTGCGGTGCACGCCGAGTAGTGTCGTGCACCGTAGGTCTTCATCTTGTGGGCTAAACCGCCCCTAGGAGCATAGCCCATGTAGTTTGCTGTGGGTATCCGGGGTCGTACCCCCCACAGCTAGTCCCCGAGCGCCCGCTGTGCAACGCCGTCTTGAGCTTGTCCGAGCAGGTGTGAATAAAGCCGAGCAGTCAGACTCATAGTCCGACCACCCTAATGAGTCGTCAAGCAGTTGTGAATCGTCGCCGAGCAGAGTATCCCAAGTAAGGCTTGCCAGAAGGATGTAAGGAGCTCAAGTTCAAAAGCAAAAATTTTCTCGCTGTGAACCAAGTGTGCCCACTTAGAGTCCGACCACGAGAAAGAGAGATGGTCTTCTTCAACTTCAGGATGCGCGGAGTCTTCTAGAATAAAGCAAACACACTCACCGCAAGGTGAAATGTGCCCACTTAGTCCCCGAGCCTGACAGTAGGTGATGCAGTCATGTGGTGCCATGATCCAAAGTAGAAGAAAAGCAGAAGACTAGCCAAGCAGACAGTCATTCCTCATGCGGAGCCCTGAAATGGAAAAACACACATTCACCGCAAGGTGAAGTGTGCCCACTTAGTCTTCGAGCCTAACAGTAGGTGACGTGGTCACGTGGTGCCAGGGTCAGAAACAATAGTAACTAGAAGTAAATCCCTAGTGTGGTGAGGAACCAAGTCATAGTGATGATGTAGTCCCCGAGCCACAAGTGAAAATCTTGGAGAAAAAACTAGAGTAATGGTTGTATAGTAGGAGTTACTGAGCCTTAATGATATTGCGGAGAAGTCAGCGAATACTCGGTGTGCAGTAACAAATTGTGGCAAAAATGGGCAATATGGGTTGTAGTTGCGTGTAAGCCCAGGTAACGGCCCACCACGCCGCTTCGGGGAATTCGGAGAGGAGCAAATCATGGTGCGGTTTCCCAAAAACCCTTGAATACAAAAAGTGGAGAGGGTGCTTTATAACTTCCCCGCCGCACTCCACGCTCCCACCTTTGCCACGTCGCCCCTTCGTCTTCCTCCTCAGCCCTCGCGCTTCCCAATTCACATTCACACACATCTTCCGTCACTAGTCCCAACCCAGATCTGAGAGATGGCGCCGAAGAGGGGAGGTGGTAACCCGAAGAAGGTGGCCGTCTGGACGAGTCGTGACAAGGAGTGTTTACCATCCCTCATGGGGGAGAAGGAGCTCAATGAGATGGTGGAGGCGGGTGTTCTTCCTGACCGTGTCACCGCTGGATGGTGTCCAGCCAACGGTGAGCCCTAGCCGATGCCGCATACTGACGAAGTCGTAGTATTTGAAGATTATTTTTGCACGGATTAGGACTTCCTGTTCATCCTTTTCTTATGAGATCTGTTGAAGTTATGGGGAGTGAGTCTGTGCAATCTGCATCCGAACACCATCTTGCACATCTCTATTTTTATCCATTTCTGCGAGGCGTATCTCGGCATTCTTTCCCACTTCAACCTCTTCCGACACCTGTTCTGGCTGAAGAAGAAGGGCGAGGGTGGCTCCAAGGTGGTTGGTGGTGTGTACCTATAGCTCCGCGATAGGATGGCAGGTGAGTACATCACTATGCCGCTGAACACCTCGCTGAAGGGGTGGAATGCTAGGTGGTTCTACATGAAGTAGAGCCATCCTGCCATCCGGTGCGATGTCGATCAAATTCCGGAGAACCAGAGGAGCTGGTCAGAGAAGTCGACCAGTGCTGATATTGATCAGGTGAAGGAGCTCCTCGAACTGATGAGGGGTATTAAGATGAACGGAGTCGCTGTGGCGGTGAGCTTCATAGTGCGCCGTATCTAGCCCTACAAGGAGAGGGCCCATCCGGGCTTTGACTTCAAAGGAGATACTAACGGCACCCAGGAGAGGATGGAGAGGCTGACGAAGGAGGCCATGCTACACCGGGTCGCAGAGCGATTTGCTCCAAATGCGTCGTTCAGCGTGCCAGGGTAGCCGAGACCCTTCAACTGTAGGAACCCACCTCCTCAGGTAAAAATCTCGACTGTTGGTCCTGGTGTTTTTTTATCCTGTGTCATGTCGAGCAGTAAACTGATTCGCTTGTGGGAAGATCCATTTCCAGGAAAGGGCGGCATGCTTCTCGGGCGTGTCGAGGAGCGATTGGCCGAAAGCGGTAGACGCCAGGCCAACCACTCAGCCGAAGGAAGGTGCCATCAGCACCTCACCCAAATCTGGAGGCGCAGGTGCTGGTCGAACGGAGAGTCCCCCCCTAGTGTCGGAGAAGGTCCGGGGGGAAAGGGCGGTGCAAGATGAGCTAGCCCGAAAGAAGAGGAAAACGGCGGGTGTAGGTCCCCATAAGCCGGGCGGCATCTCGCTTGGCGGTGATCAGACCACTCAAACACAGAGTGCGACGATGTCCGAGTGGTCGGACAACGATGGGGCTCCAGTAGCTCCTCCTCCGAGCACTAAGGCGCCACCATGCAACATGCACGTGGAGGTGTAGTCGAAAGGAGGGGAGGGAGTCCCTGAGCAGCAGGCGGAGGAGAGGCTGACGGTGGGGGCCGCAAGACCTCCAGCCCAGGGCATGCGGGTTGACCCTAGAGCCATGCCTGGGTGCTCGAGGAGGTAGTGCCGATTTAGAACCATCTACCGGGAAGCCGATGTGTAAGTATCCTTGCCTTTCTATCGTTTGTTGTCTGATCTTTATAGTTGCGGTGATTGATGAACTGATCTGGTGCAGAACGAGGCGCGCGGAGGATCTCAATCCTTCAGGCCAGACTGGCGAGCAGCCGAAGGCTGTTTCCGGCATGGAGGCAATGCCGACAGACCCCGTCCTAGAGTCCCCGGGCGCTCGGCGGCCTGTGGAGGAGTCGACCACCGCTGCTGATGGAGTTGGCGGTGGAGAACGGTTGGCGACGACAGCGGTCGATGCGATGGAGACGCTAGGAGCGACGACGGGAGCCACCGAACCTTCGGAAGCGAGAGCAGGAGCTACCGACGTTGTGCCAGAGTCTAGGACATAGAGGCCGGTGGTGTTGGTGGAGCAAATAGCGCGCCCTAAGATGTCGTAGGGCGTGGTCGGACACTCTGTGCGGCCACTGAGCCCCCAGGGAGCGCCACTCGCTGTGGAGAAAGAGGATGATGTTGAGGAGATTGAGCATGAAGAATCAAGACCTCAAGCCATCCGCATCCTCCGTAAGCAGGGGGATGAAGTGGTGGTCGTGGAAGAGGAGGACACCACCAGGGAGGTGAAGAGGCTACGGTCCGTCGTTTCCACGGTTATGAAGCAAATTGAGGTTAGTATTGTGTCGGTAATGTACGTCTTTGGTGTTGAAGAATGGAGTTCTTCATAATCTTGGTGCTTTGTAGGGTATAGCACGAACTGCCGCACAACGGCAGCAGCTGATCAAGAGGATGGAGCCCCTCGCGAGGAGAACACAAAGCTAAAGGAGGTGTGAAGCTGATGGAGAAGAACGCCCAGAGGACCCGGCGCGAAAGAGATCTTGCTGAATCAAACGCGAGGGACCTAGAATACCAAAAGGGGGCCTTATCCGAGCAGTTAACGACCATCGTCGAGCAGCTGAGGTGCAACTCTAAGCAGCTGGAGCACAACTCCAAGCAGCTGAGAAGCGTCTCTGAGCAGAAAAAAGGTACTGTGGATCGGTGAACTTGCTCTGTATTTCCAAGAAAACTAGATGTTGTTGACAATCGTCACTTTTGTAGAGCAAGATGCAGAGCTCGGCCAGTTGCGTCAGGTCATCCGTCAACTCTAGGAGGAGAAGGAGAAGGCGTCTGGATGAGCGAAGAAACTGGCCAAGGAGCTAAAAGGTGAGTAGTTCGTGGTAGGAGTTGTTGCTGAAGTGATTTCGTCATTTGATGGATCCTTTTGGTGTCTTCAGATTACCGTCGAAGAACTAGGGCGCAGTTCGACATGCTGGAGCTGGAGGTGTAAACCCAGAGGAGTAAACTCGATGCCATAGTGACCAGAGTCAAACCGGTGCTCGACT